GTGTGTGTGTGTGTGTGTGTGTGTGTGTGTGTGTGTGTGTGTGGTTAATTACAGCAGTTACCTGATGGAACTCTCTCTGGTGCTGGACGGCCCCCACGTCGCCTCCTATGGGCAGCTGCTCTGACAGCTCCTCGTCCTTGGCCGTCAGCCACTCGATGATCTCCTGCAGGGAGAGCTGCAGCTTCCCGCTGTTGTCAGAGAAAGCTTCTAGCCGTGCCCTGTCAACACACACACACACATAAGGACACACACAGATGAGCGGTCTCTGGCTCTCATTGTCCACAACACATTATTAACTTTAACATGCAAATTGTTCACAAATGAATAAAACGGTTACAGAAAAAAAAAAACTCAATCAGAATTTAAAAACAGCATCTGGGTTGTCTTGTACCATGTTTCCAGTTATTGAGTCTTTTAGACATGATGCAGACATGTCTTTTAAAATCAAATAAAAACACCTTTGGTGATCATTTGGTCAAGTTTTTTAACCTCACTCAAATCAAATAAGAGTAAAAGCATTTATTTAGCAGAGCTGTGTGAACTCTCTGCTTTGATCCAAAAAGAAAAAATACACTTAACAAAAATATAGACACCCCATGTCAAATACACGATACAACTGGAACCTGGATTCATCCGTGAACATCACTCTTCTCCACCGTGCCAAGGGCCATCAGACGTGCATTTGCCCGTGTGAGTCGGTTCCTACGCCGGACAGCAGTGAGATCCGGACCACGGTGAGGGAGCCGAGCTTGCAAACTGGCTTCTCGTCAGCGGTTACAGACAGTCTGAGGTGTGATGCGTCTGTTGTGCAGACCAGTAGGCTCATCAGCTGTCTGTGTCGCTGGTCTTAGTCGATCCCACAGATGGACGAGCCAGATGTGGTGATCTTGTGCTGGAATGGTCACACGTGGCAGACGAGGATGAGGTCGATTTTGCAGTAGTGCCAGTCTGTTGGAAACAAACTCTCAAAGGGGCGATGGTCCAATAATGGACATTGAACCTTGCAGCTACTGCTTTGRTAGACATCCCTGCATCCAACATGCCAATGGCATGTTGGCTCCTGCATAACTTAYGACATTGGAGGCATTTTGATATGTGACAAAATTGACATTTTGTGGTGACCGTTTATTGGCCCCAGTCAAAGGATTGTCCAGCTGTTGCTCTTTTTGTCTGATCACCCACTGGACATGCCCCAACCATGCACTCAGTAAAAAAACAACTCACTGAGTAACGCTCACTGACAGCAAGTTAAGATTAAAAATTATACACAAATCAAGAGAAATATTACCTTTGTACAATAAAATGTCAGCAAATGCTCATTTACTGTTGTTAACTCACCATGGCAACAATATTTGACATGGGTCGTTTATATTTTTAAGTGTATATATAAGATTTGAGTTGTTGCATCAGCTTCATTATTTCACGTCAAACGTGTTTCACTTGACTCTTATTAAACTTTGTCTTCAATATCCTTTAAACCATTAAATCAGTTAACTGGTTCTCAAAATCATATTTAATGAKCACTTGCTACAGAAAGGTACAGGAAGACTCTGTTTTTGCAAGTGTCTGTCTGTTAGCAAAATATCTCGTGAACCACTGGAGTGGACTTTTAACGAAACGTTCAGGAATTAATCATTGTTACATAAACATGAGTCAAACTAATTCAAGATGGCCACCACAGCTAAGTGATATTAATCAACACAAACAGGTTATAACTCAGATTTTGAGCTAAATTTGAAGGGGTAGTAGCTGAGAGTCATTCACAACACGTACTCTGAGCATGACGTCTTGTGTTACATTTGACAAAAATGGTTACGACTCCATCACGTTGAYATGAGATCATGCAGATCTGGGTGGTATACCGGTTCGTACTGAAAACCTGTTTTAATTTTTTTTGTAGGAATATTCTGTATACCAACATATTGGTTTGACTGCAAATGAACTGTTTCACGGGGGACGTGTTTCCTTGATGCACTGCGGAATGCAGGAAGTAGAGAACAAGGCAAGTAAGTGATGTTGGAGGTGTTTAGCAGGGGCGAACTGGCCATTGGGAGACCCGGGACATTTCCAGGTGGCCTGGCCTCCAGCTCAGGGGTCGACGAAGGGTGGGACTAAAGTCTTGGTTCAAGTCCCACTTAATTTTTTAAAAAATATACAATCATGCGAAGAAACTGGGTAAATGAGTTAACATAGTAGAACTAGCTTAATGTGTTAGCATTTTTTTCTTTTTTGGTTCCACTCTTGGAGGAGTAAGACGCTTTTTCCTTCTCTCCTGCCCTTCCTTATCTTCCCTTCTTTGCTGCTTGGAGCCCTCTCTACGTTTTCATCTGAAACCAGAAATTGTGGATATTTTTATTGTTATGGATTTGGTTAGCTGGTCTCTTAGTAAATTTTTGTAACAAAGTTTTTTCTTCCATGGGAGGACATGTCAAAGGTGGGACCTCTGTTCTG